TTGTCACATTTTAAAATCTAGGCACTGCAGTACATACTTTATTTGTAGGTTATAACTGAATCTATACTTATGTCAGATAGTAATTTTACACCCTACAAGATTTCAATAAATCAAGGTCTTAATACTTATTTTTAGTTACCTCATTTCAGACTAGTGAGGAATTGGATACTGAGCATGCTGGTTAAAGGCTTAGCATCGCTTGGTATTGTGAGGTAAAAAGGAGACAGTAGAAAATAAATTGGGACTGAAGACTCATCTACGTCTGTAAGATTACAAGCTGGGAATTTAGTAGGAATTGAATGATAAGTTCCAGAGCACTGTCCTGGGTGCTGTGTATGGATCATCTTATGTAAAACTTTCACAAATTTTGTGAAAGCATTTTGTCATCACTATTTACATATGGAAAAACTGAAAATCAAAACTTTTAATTGCCCAAGCCACACAAACAGAATGAGAAGTCATATACAACCAAATGATGTTACTTTCTACTAAGCAAGCAGCCTCCAAACAAAATGGGAATGTGTACTATTTCTTCCTAATGTTTTTCCTAAAAATTTACTATTAAGGTTTCAGATTTCTCATTCCACTTCAGCATTTTAGGAAGTATGGTAGTTGGATACATTAATGGGGTTACCATTGCTCTACAGTTCTTCTAGAGTTGTTTTCAACAGCACTTGATTAAGCATGTAAGAGAGATTAGCTTTAGAATCAAGTCTCCTTGGTGAGGTCTTAAATATGTTGAGAAAATTTCCCAAAGAGAAAAATTTATGGCAACATAGCAAGATCACTGTTAAGGTGAAAGCTAAAAGGGAGGTACTACAGAAAGCGTGTAACCTAAAGGCTGACAAATGTGAGACAGCCCCAAATTAGGAGGGATAGAAGCAGGAAAGGCTTCACCTTCTCACCTATCCTGAGGCAAGGGAAAGGGAGAGCCATTTCCTTTAGGAAAAAGGAATTCTTAGTCCAGCTCTCTTCAGACAGCCTCAGAAGCCACAGTAGGTTTCCAGTTCTCACCAGAATTTTTAGAAGTTTACTCCTCACCTGGTGGGGAAACATTCAGTAATACTGTTAGCTGTCCTGTAGGTAGTTTGGATGCTCCTGGAACCATTTTGGACAGAAGAAATGTGGAAGACATAGTCTCCGAACAGGCTGAGAAAAGCTCAACATTGAAAATAAAGGATTTTGGTTGTGACACAGATTGGTTAATATTTACCCAGTGGGTGAGTCCTGGAAAACATCTGATATGTTCTCTCTCATATGGAAAGTGATTATAAAAGAAAAAAAGAGTTCTCAATTGAATACCTCCCTATTTTCCCTCACAGATTACTTTAATACATTAATTTTCAATAAATATAGAATTTTTTATATATCTACATAAACAATTCAGGGGCTTTGTATGTTATAACCTCTTGAACTCACCTAAGCTCCGGGTAAGTTTTTTTATCACCAAATGTCTATACCTCATTTGTTTGTTTAAAAGTTATCAATCATTTCAATATTGAGAAGCTTACCATTCAGGAAAGGCTTTTATGTTAATTGGTAAGTTTTTCATTGCTATTATGCTTCAAAATAAGTAAAACAGGGCAATTCTACAATTTCTTTTCCGATTTGGCTCTTAGATATCTAAGTTTTACTGTTGACATTATGGTCAGCTAGCTATAAGCAAAGCCTAGGGTCGAAAGGGTCTAGAAACAAGTAAGAGTACGACATTATCCCTATTGAAATAACAAAGATAGGATGGAGGATTACTCTGGGAATAGTGCATCTAAGTGTTTCAGAATAATAGTTAACATTTTTTTCTTATGTAGTTATTTAAGTCTGGGTGCTTGTACTGTTATGGTTTTTGTACTAAAATTTCTATTATAGAATATTTTTATAGAATGAGATACCCATGTACAGACAATGGTAATATATTAACTTACCATTTTTGCTTAAAATTTATTTTTTTAAACATTAGCTTCAGCTAAAGCCCATTCATCCTATCTCCTTTTCACACTGATTTTCTGTGAATCCTTCATATTCTTTTACTATGTATTTATGCAATTTTTCATCAAACAGGCATTTTAATACTTACCCATGTTGATACATCTGGATCTGGATGATTCACATTAGCTTCTTACTAAAGTCCAGTATAAAAATAAATCTGTTGATGCACTCCAGGTGGGCTGTTTATACTTCAACATTCAAAGAATGTTGTACAGATCTGTTTTGTGCATATCTCCTTGCGTATATGTGCAAGTTTCTCTAGGCTCTTTTCTCGAAATGGAATTTCTGGGTCATAAGGTATCAACACTCCATATTTTACTAGGCATTGCCAAAATTGCTTTCCAAATCATTTCATCAATTTATACACCTACAAGAAATGTATCAATTCCTTTGCCCATTTTAAAAATATTTTTTCTTACTGATCTTTAAGTACTATTTCAATGCACATATATTCTTCCAATTTAACATTTCATTTTGTTAATACTATCTTTCACCATATCTGAATAGTATGAAAATTTTAATCAACTTTTTCCTTCTAAATTTGTACTTTTCAGTGTCTTAAAAAGAGGAATTCTGTACGCCAGGGTTGGTGAATGCATTTCTTCATTTTCTTCTAAGTGTTTAAAAAACTTCACATTAATGATTTCAAATCATCTAGGTTGTATTTTTGTGTGTTGTGAATTAAAGAATCTCACTTCATCTGCTTTGTGAAGATACTCATTTTAAAAAGTCCATTGTTTTCACCGACTTTTAAAAAACTACCTGTGACTTCATGTTTTCATCTATATGTAGGCCTGTTTCTAGGTTCACAAGTTTGATTTACTGGTCTGTCTGTCCTTGTCTGTTTAAATTCTTTAAGTTCAAATTACCACAGGTTTGTAGTAATTGTTGATACCTCATGAGGTAAGTCTTTCTGTTTCTCAGAACTGCATTGGCTCTTGTTTATTCCACCATGTAAATTTTAGGATTAGCTCTATCTCCCATTAGTGTCTTTCTTTAAATACCATGTTTCTCATTTCATCTTTTTTTGTGAAGATATTCATTTTAAAAAGTCCATTGTTTTCACCACTGACTTAAAAAACCACCAGTGACTTAACGTTTTCATCTATATGTAGGGCTGTTTCTAGGCTCGCAAGTTTGATTTACTGGTCTGTCTGTCCTTGTCTGTTTAAATTCTATAGTTCAAATTACCAGAGATTTGTAATAATTCTTGATACCTCATGGGGTAAGTCTTTCTGTTTCTCAGAACTGCATTGGCTCTTTGTTTATTCCACCATGTAAATTTTAGGATTAGCTCTATCTCCCATTAGTGTCTTTTCTTTAAATACCATGTTTCTCATTTCATCTTTTTTTGTGAAGATATTCATTTTAAAAAGTCCATTGTTTTCACCACTGACTTTTAAAAACCTACCTGTGACTTAACGTTTTCATCTATATGTAGGCCTGTTTCTAGGCTTGAAAGTTTGATTTACTGGTCTGTCTGTCCTCGTCTGTTTAAATTCTTTAAGTTCAAATTATCACAGGTTTGTAATAACTCTTGATACCTCATGGGGTAAGTCTTTCTGTATCTCAGAACTGCATTGGCTCTTGTTTATTCCACCATGTAAATTTTAGAATTAGCTATATCTCCCATTAGTGTGTTTTCTTTAAATACCATGTTTCTTAGTAATTTGTGGTAAATGGTTTTTTGTCTTGTTCTGTGGTAGATTTTACCACATCTTTTACTTAATATTCCATTATTGATCAACAATGAACGGTATTAGAGAAGGGAAGGGAGCTGTGTGAGTATAAAAAAAAAATGTTGTATCTTCATCTGAGGTTGTACTGCTTTTTCAAATTAATTTAGTCAGGTTGAATGTAACAATGATAAAATCTTCCCAACCATAAATGAAACATGAATCTCCATTTACTTATTTTTTGTCCCTTAGTAAAAATTAACAACTTTTCCATGAAGGCCTTAAGCATTTTTGCTAGATTCCCGGGTTTTTTAAAAAAAAAATCTGTTTGATGCATTTCATCTTCCGGGCCACTAGTGTGGCCTAATCCCTCCATTCATTATTTTGTCCAAAAAAAAAAAGTTTTTAGAATTGTGTTGCACTCACAATTTTGTGTATTTTTATTATTCATGCATTTGTTTCCTCCAGCAATTACACTGCACATGGATTGTACACCTTAGGAAGATTCCTGGGTGCCGAGTAAAAAGGTGTTTCTTGTCCTAAGCTTGGGGTAAAAAGAAACTTTTACATTCCCCTTGAAGCATCTAGGAAGAAGTATCACTAATCTTCCTTTGCTTACTGCCTTCTCACTGTAAGAGTAAGGAACAGACAAACTTAAACCCCTGTCTTTTGTAGACAGGAAGACCCTACCCCTTCCTACCAATTTGAGATTCTAGGATGGCTCAAATGTCAACCTCTTTCAGGGATTCTCTAACCTCTGCTTCTGAGAAGCTGTTCACATTTGATTCCTGCACCCCTGGGGGAAGAAGCCCATTCTCTCCACAAAAAACAGTATCCTGGAGTTAGAAAGTCATCAAGATCCCAAATCCACCATAGGTACATTTTTTACTTGTCTTAATAATTTTAAATAATTTGTTAGTGGTAGGGAAAAAATGCTTATCTGATGTTTGCTTTATTTCCGCTTTTGTGGTTGGTTGGCCCATTTTTTAATTTAGAATTTCATTGTTTACATGAATGGTATTTTTTGAGAGGGGATAAATTCCGCTGATCCCCAAAGAAAAGGCAAAAAGGCAAATTACAGCCCGCACTATCCATCTACTTTTTTACACTTAGTGAGTGCATACAACTTTTTTTACGTAAGTGTCTAGGTGGTTTTCGGTGGTGGTAGTTTTTAATACTCCAAACACAGAGATTCATCTAAAAATCCTGAAACAGAGAAACATACACCAACCCCTCCCGCTCTCATCCCAAAAACCTGGTTGGTTTGAATGAGAAAAATGATCCATTTTTCCTTTTGGATAGGCAGACTTTAAAAAAAAGAAAAAATCTCAGAACTTTTTTTGCCTCATTTTATCAGAAAAATTTAAAAGACATCTTTAGGAGAATTTCTATTTTCAAACAGGAGACAGCACGCAGGTTCAAGTCATACTTTTAACATGAGCTTGTTGAAAGAAACGTTTAACAATTCCAAAAAGAACTCAACGACTTTTAACTAAGTTCCTCCCGAAAGCATAAAAAAGGGAGAGCAAGTTAACAGGAATTTCGTAAACTGTCAAACAACTCTTCTCCGAACGAGGACTCTGCAGCTAGCACCGAACAGGTTCTTTTCTGGAAAGCCCATTTGGGTCCCAAATCCGCTCCCGTTCAGTATCTGCTCCGGATTCCTCCTCTCTCGGAGCGGCTGCCGAGGCGGCCTCCCCGCGGGGGCACCCTGCGGCCCGAGCGGCTATAGGAGTCACGCGTGGGCGGGTAGCCCCTCTCCAAGGGCGGGGGGAGCCCGCGCTCCCGGCCCCCCGAGTAGCGCTCGCCGCGGCCGCCGCTGCCGCTGCCGCTGCCGTAGCCGTCGCGGTAGGAGTCGGGCGACCAGGCGCGGTACTCGTCGTAGCGGCCTCCGCCGTAAGATGGCTGCGGGCCGCGCGGGGGCGCGGCGCTGCGCGGGTCCCCGTAGCTCTCGAAGGCGTCGCGGTAGGAGCCGCCGCTCAGGTGGTCGCCGTAGTCGCGCTCGCGCGCCCCGTAGCTGTCGCGGTCGCAGTAGCCTCTGGACGGGCAGTCGTCGCGGGCGCTGGCGTGGCCGTAGTCGCGGTAGCTGTAGTCTCGCGGCGAGGCGGCGAAGTCGCGGGGGTCGCGCGCGCCCGCGTAGTCTCGGCCCGAGTAGCTCTCCCGGGGCGAGTAGCCGCCCTCCCGCGGGCCCAGGTAGGCGTCGCGGCGCGGGGCCGGCTCCC